ATTTTACCCTATTGTATGTTTTTATCTCCTTTGTTGAATATTAATTGACCATAACAGCATGGGTTTATTTCTGGGATCTCTATCCTGTTCCATTGATCTATATATCTGTTTTTATGTAACTACTATGCTGTTTTGAATACTATGAACTTGGAGTATGTTTGATATCAGGTAGCATGATACCTTAACTTTGTTCTTCTTAAGATTGCTGAAGTTATTTAGGGTCTTTTGTGGTTTCGTATAAATTTTGGTAATATTTATTCTAGATCTGTAAAATATACCATTGGTATCTTAATAGGGATTGCATAGATTCTATAAATGGATTTGGTAGTATGGACATTTTAATGATCTCGATTCTTAAAATGTCATTGATTTCTGAATATTTACCTTATATTCTGCTACTATGCCTAATTCATTGATTAGGTCAAGTAGTTTTGGTGGGGCCTTAAAGGGTTTTCTATGGACAATATCATGTTGTCTGAGAATAATGACAATTTTACTTCCTCTTTTCCAATTTGGTGCCTTTTATTTCTCCTTCTTGTCTGATCACCGTGGCTAGGTCTTCTGGTACTATGTTGACTAAGAGTGGTTAAAGAGAACATCCTTGTCTTGTTCCCAGTCTTAATGGAATTGCTTTTAGTTTTTGCCCACTGAGCATGATATTGGCAGTAGGTTTTTCATAGAAGACCTTTATTGTGTTGAGGTATACTCCCTCTTATTCCAACTTTGGTGAGTGTTTTTATCATAAATGGGTGCTGGATTTTATCAAATGCTTTTTCTGCATCTATTGATATGATCATGTAATTTTTGTCTCATTTTGTGTATGTGATATATCACATTTATTGATTTGTGAATACTGTACCATCCTTGCACCTCTAGAATAAATCCCACTTGATCATGGTGTATGATCCTTTTTATGTGTTGCTGGATCTGATTTGCTAATATTTTGTTGAGGATTTTAGCATCTATGTTCATCAGAGATATTGGCCTGCAATTTTCTTTCTTCATTGTATCTTTACCTGACTTTGGAATTAGGATAATACTGGACTCATAAGAAAAGTATAGACGTCTTTTCTCTTCTTGAATTTTTTGGGATGATTTGAGACTGATAGGTGTTAGTTCTTTTCTGAATGATTGGTAAAATTTGCCTGTGAAGCTGCTTGGTCTAGGGCTTTTGTGTGCTGGGAGTTTTTTTAATACTGCTTCAATTTCATTAGTCGTTATCAGCTTTTTCAGGTTTTCTGCATCTTCCTGATTCAGTTTTGGAAGATTGCGTATTTCTAGAAATGTATCTATTTCTCTCAGGCTGTCCATTGTCTTGGTATAGAATTGTTTGTATTAATTTCTTACAATCATTTGTATTTCTGTGGTATCAATTATTTCTCCTCTTTTATTTATAACTTTATTTATTTGGGTTCTCACCTTTTGTGTGTGATGAGTCTTAAGATGAAAAAAGTTTTAAGAAGATAGAAAGGACACAATGGGAGATTTGATGTTCGTGATAAGACAAAAGAGAAAAATTTGTGGGAAACATGAGATGGGGTTCAAATGTTAGAATTTAATGATTGTGGGATGTCCAGCTGGAAATGTCCAGTAGGCCAGCAAATATTTGACAGCATTACTCAGAGAGTTGCTTTGTAAAGGTGGTTGATGCAAACAATTTAGATTCCAAGATACACAAATCCTCAATTTTAATGTGCTTTGCCAGTCTTCACCTCAGCAAACCACCTGCTCAGTCATGTCTAGGTCTTAACATAAGCCTCACTCACTCTGAACTTGAAGAATTAGAGCCCACTATGTCCATTTTCCCCGGTGTCCTCTGTGTTCCAGGTCCTTATTGCTTTATAGCCATATATGAATAGCCATATATTGCTTTATAGTTATTTTCTTTTAGATCCCTGAGATTAATGCCCCTCTGTTTCTCCTTTTTCTTCTAGTCCATTAACCTTTGTACCAGGTGGGTACTGAAAATATCAGAGGGAATACTTTGTAAGCGTATGATTGTCTAATGCTTATTCTGTACACCTGAAACAAAATTACATTGAAATGTAAACTAGAATTGAAAAAAAATAATAATATTTTTAAAAAGAAAAAAATCTTTGTACTCCTATTTCTTTTTTTAAATCTAGTCTAGACCATAAAAGACCCCATTCAAATCAGTTAGTTTTTAGTACATACGACATGTTCATTTCCTTGCTTTCTCACATATCCATTCTCCAGATTCTTGGCGTTGGATCTGGACTGCTGGATGCTAAAGGGAAGCATGCTATATATGGACAGGGTCCAACACAAATGTGTGGATTCTAGTGGGTCCCTCAGCACCTCTGTACAATATTTTTGCTTGCTCCTGATCAGGTCCTCTTATAAAATCTATGGAATATTTAAATTTGTATTATCTTCTTCATGCATTTTTCCCTTATCAACCATCCAATCCCTTACCTTCAAACTTATCCATTACTGCTTCTACACCTCCTTTCTTCTGGTCACACAGAACATAATTGGAAGATGTTAATAGTCAAAGATAATTTTGTATTCTTTATCTGATCATAACTTTCAAGTATTCCTCTTTTCACTTTTACATTAATCTCTTTATGTTGACACTTACCTTCTACATGCTTAAATCTTCATCCTAAAAAATTAAAGCTCTCATTTGAACCTACATTTCCCTCAAGCTGCCAACCCTCTCTCCAGAAGAGATGGGGGAATGTTTACATATGTCAGTAGATGTTTATGATCTTGTGCCTTTAAACCAGGATTTTCCAACTTCAATAGTATTTCAGGCTGAGACATTCTTTGTTGTAGAAGGTTGGTCTGTGCATTGTAGGGTATTTAGTAGCATCCCTGGTCTTTACTAGCTAAATAATGTCCCTGCCTTGCCCATTTGTGTTAGCCAAAAATGTCTGTAGATCTATTTTGGACCAGAGGGGAAAACTTTGTTCCAGTTGAAATTAAACACATAACAGTGGTTGTTTGAGCAGGCATGTTAAAAGAGACTCTGAAAAGCTGTACCATTTTATTTATAGAGGATAATGTAGCTGATCATACTACCAGAGTGAGGACAATTAAGAAGCTGGTCTGATAGGAAACCCAGTAGTGCATATAGAGAGAAGGTATGAAAAAATGTTGCTCTGGGGAATATTCCGAGTAGACATTGAGAGGCTTTGTGACTTTAGGTTATTGAAAGGTAGCTGCTGTAAATTTAATTAATTATTATTATATTAAGATGAATTCTTTCTGATACATTTTATGTAATATGTTAGCAAGCTTGACAACTCATTACCACTCTTGATAGATGATTAGTGGCAGGATTTGAAGAAAGAGAGACGTGACCCTTAAAGAGAAAGGTATGCCTTTTGAACCATGGTCAAATTTGAAATGATGTTTGTGTGTGTTAAGGATATTCACATATACCAAGATGTTCAAATTTCTATCCATTTGGAGAAAAAAGAACTGTGAGTTTAGGTATGAATTATGCAATGTTGTTCTTTATGACAGAAGGTTTCCATTAAGCACAAGATGTGCCCTTTTCATCTCAGCATACCCAGCGCTGACTCTGGGCTACCGTCCAACTCTCCAGGTTGCTCCCTGTGGATGGGTAACATGAGGAACTGAACTAAGAAAGTCAGAATGTCTGTTGTGATACTGTGAGAAAAGGTGATTCCAACATGGTCTTGAGCTCTATGTTTTAAAATCTTGTCCATGTTATAGAAATTTCTTGAGACTTTTGGGGTCGATACATGACACCTGGGAAAGATGTTTCAAATCAATTATTTTTAATTTGTGAAGTGCTTGTTATGTTTCAAACCTGGGGATGAAATCAGGGAAATATCTCTAATTGTCTCATAATAGCAGTATAATGGTGCCAGCTCATCCTGGCTCACAAGAGCTGATTTTGTATATCTCTCCCCAACTCTGTGTTCGGTGACTGGAATCAACGATGGTAAGAATATTTACACTGTGAAATCTACCTTGGCCAGTGTGACCCAGTTGGCATGGGCGTCATCCCATAAGTTAAGGGTCGAGGGTTCAATTCCCAGTCAGGGGTCTGATCCCGGGTCTGATCTTCGGTCCAAGATGTAGTATCCTGATTTGTAGTATCCTGGGTGTGTACTGGAGGCAACCAATTGATGTTTCTCTCTCTCTCTCTCTCTCTCTCTCTCTCTCCCCTTCTCCCTTCCTTTCTTTTATCCTCAGGTGAGGATAAAAATCAAATTTAAAAGAAAAGAGTGTTTACACCATGAAGTCAAAACAACTCCACAAATTGAGATTTTGTGTTTTTTATTTTCAGAAAACTGTTTTGCCCGAAGATAGGTCTTATTTTCTCCATTTCACAGCTGAAACTAAAACTCAGAAAAGTAGTTCCCTAAATGAATTTTACTTTGAAAATGACATGAGTTCTTGGGAAGCAAGGCATAATATAAATATAAGAGAATTTATTTTTCTACTCAAATAACTGACTCCAGTTGAATTCATGTTTTCTTCATAGAAAAGTGAAAATTCTCATGAATTGCATGTTTTCCCTTTTAAAAAAATTTTCACTGTACACAACGTGTTATAATGAGAACATACTAATGTTTCTCTTACCTTCTTCACTGAACATAAAATGGATTATAAGATAGTCTTTAAGACCTGGATTTTAGTGTATATTAGAATGCTATTTTTCATCATACTTGGTTTTCTAACAAATATATTATTTGCAAAATATTTCTAGCATTTCATTAATTAACCTCTGTTCTATTTACTAATAAGTCCTGGGATCTTGAAAAAGTTTTCTCAGCTGTGTAGTGTAAGGAATGTCACCAGCGACCTCTAAGGTCATTGCCATTTTTGCCAGCATGGAGATTCTTATGCTTCTAACTACTAGAATATGTCCTGCTATAAAAATACTATTGCAGAATATATCCTAAATAAAGCATTTAAAATATACCTTTATTGAATGTATAGCCTCAGAAGTGAAGTTTGTTATTTTGTTGTGAAACAAAGTTTTTATTTTGTTTTCAAAGTTTCAGGATATGAATCTGAGGGAATTCTACTGTGAGGAAAACCCACTGTTCCTGAAGCAGCCTGTCAGGGCTGTGATAAAGCAGGATGTCTGGAGTCTGCAGGTAAGACCTTCTGCTAAAGCCGTGATCTAAGTTTTAAAGAGGTTTCTTTTAAAACATTCCAACCTCATCAGCAAGGGATGGATGTCACTCTAGTCTATTGGCAATGTGAGTCCTAGACATAATCTCTTTGACTTGCTTATAGAATCCAATGTCTTTCTACCTGATTTCCAGAGTGACTAAATTCAGAGAAATAGAAACATTTTGTTGTATGGAAAGAGTAGAATTTGTTTTCACTATCACCTTTCAAGTATGTTGTCGTATCATTTAAGAATATATTTAATTTGTTCTCGCTGGGGTCTTTGCCCTTCCCACTCACCTCCCTGCCCTCTTTTTAAGAATTTTAAAAATTAATTTATTTGGACGACATTGGTTAAAATAAAATGTGGGTGACATTGATTAAAGTAAAATCATATAGGTTTCAGGTATACAATTCTATAATACGTCCTCTATATATTGCATTGTGTGTTCATCTACCAATGTCTAGCCTCCTTCCATCACCATTTATCCCCCTTTACCCTTTTGTACTTTCTCTCCTCCCCCTTTCCCTCTCGTAATCACCATATTGTTGTCTTTTGAATTTTCTTTTTCTTTGCCTATCCCTTTTTCACTTCACCCCATTCCTATTGGATGAATGATTATGATCCAGAAATCATATTCACTTTAGTCAAAGAACTTGGTGATATTAAAAGAAGAAATAGGAAGCCCTGGCTGGGTAACTGAGTTGGTTAGAGCATCATCCTGATACACCAAGGTTGTGGGTTCAATCACTGGTCAGAGCACATATAGGGGTCAACCAATGAATACATAGATCAGTGGAACAACAAATTGATGTTTCTCTCTCTTTCTCTTCACCTTGCTCTCTCTTTCTGAACTCAATAAATAAATTTTTTAAATAAAAATAATAAAAAAGGAATTGGAAAGCATATTAGGGGACTCTCTTTGTGGGTCTTTTGGTAATAGACAAGCTAACCTTTGCAGATCTTCCCACAATTGAGTATGTCTCCATCATAAACTTGAACTTCTCAGGTCCTTTTAAGGCTATAAGTGAACATTCAGGATCATCTTAAGACTTTCAAGAATCATGTAGGATTCAAGTTTCTGAGATGCAGAAAACAACCAATTTTGTTAAATGGTTTAGTTTTTTTTCTATAAATAACATTTTCCCTTGTTGCATAGATTTCATATGCTCAATACAGGGAACTAGAAAATACAGATGAACAAGGAAGAAAATTTCAGTGTTATACTGATTAAGAGAAAAGTTTATTACAAAAGCAATACAAACTCATTTAGAGAAATTAGAACAAAAGCAATAGAAGTTGATAAGATTACTTAGAAGTCCAATATGCTGAGATATTACCATTATTCTCCCTACGTTTATTTTGCTAGTACTTTCCATGCATCCAGAAATTTTTTTAAATTAAAGATGAATTAAGATGCCACATATGATTTGAGACTTGTTTTCTTTTCCTCAAATTATTGTGAATATCTTTCCAATTGATAAAAGAAATAAATCTTTAATGTCTTTTAAATGAATATATAATATTCTGGTATATTACAACATAATATTTTAAACTATTTTCCTGCTTTAGCTGTTTAGATTACTAATAATTTTCTGGCTCTTTGGCCTTTATAAGGAAGGCTACAATGACTGTCCTCATAGCAAACTTCTCCTCTGCGTGGTATCCCTGTGAGTCAAATTGCTTTGTCAAAAATTGTCATTTTTTAAAAGTTTGGCTAGCTCTTTTCAAATTCCCTTCCAGAGAGTCAATCTGTATGTCCACAAACAATGTTATCTTCTACTTTTATGTGAAAAAAAGTTCTATTTTATATTTAATTGTTAATGATTTTGGAAACTACGGGGATTAATTTGTTTAATCCCTTATAATGTATTTGTTCTCCTTGAATCAAGCATCATAGAATAATAATAACAATAACAATAATAAAAACTAACACCTGTTAAGCTCACTATGAGCAAGGTGTTGTTGTAAGCACTTAACTGAAATGAATTAATATAATGATCCAATAACCCTAAAAAGGTAGGTATTGTTACCCTTTTATAGATAAACTAAGCCCCAAAGAGGTTACATAATTTGTCCAGGGTCACAGAGCTAGTTACATGTTGGAAGTACAATGCCAATCAACCTAAGTGGCTGGGCTCCAGACTCCTTGCAGCAGAATCACCTCAAAAAAGGGAAGGGAAGAGGGAACAGTGGGTGGGGGCCGGGCTGGGGGCGTCCCTAGTTGAAGGAGGTTCTGGATTGCAGATGGGGCTGGAGGTGGCAGTGGTCTCACGAGGGTACTTTCGAAGGCAAGAATAATTTGGGTACTTTTTAAAGCATCTCTAAGAATTTTTCTTAGAAAGGTAACACATTTATCATACATTTCATATTTGTACTTAGAGTAAAAGTTATTTCTACTGGACATTTGCTTAACATTACTGATTAAACTATTGCATACTCGGACTGTCAAGAAATTATAGAGCTTTGATTCAAGATAGTCTTGGTTAAGATTTTTAAACATTTTTATTCACCTCAGAACTTTATGAGCTAAATTTTAATGTTGATGGCTAGATTATAACTAAATGTTAGCCAGAATATTCTGTATTAGTAGTTACAAGATTAAGAGTTTTACCCAGGTTATCTGATTTAATTCTCTGAACTCTCTAAGATGGCATTGGATAAACATCCCTGTTTTATTGGTGAGGTATCCAAGATAGAGAAGTCAGGACTTGTCTGAGGAGAGTTACACAGCTAATAAGCCACACAGCCTGGATTTGCACTTATTTGACTGAGTCAGACACAGAGTATTTTCTCTTTTTTTAAATTTTATTTCTAAATTACAGTTTGCATTCAATATTATTTTGTATTAGTTTCAGGTGTATAGTGTAGTGGTTAGACAAGTACATACTTTGCAAAGCAGACCCTGCAATGTTTCAAATACCCACCTGGCACCATACACAGTTCTTACAATATTATTGACTGTATTCCCTATGCTGTACTTTACGTCCCTGGGACTTTTTTGTGACTACCAATCTGTAGCTCTTAATCCTTCCACCTTCTTCACACAGCCCTCCGAACCCCCTACCCCCTGGCAACTGTCAGTCTGTTCTCTGCATCTTTGTTCTTGGTGCTATCTATGTTTTAGTGTCTGTCCTACACAGAGTACTGGTGTCCTTGACCACAGTTCTAAATAGATAATTTCTTCCAAGGATTCATATTTGTTTCAAAATTTTATATATTTTATATGCACATAAATATAATTTATATATAGGTAGTTTTATATTTCAAATGAAATCATTATATGTAAGGGAAAATAAAGGAATACATTTGAAACCAATTTTAACTTATCATGGTTTAAACATAGGGATAATCTCAGGTCTACATATACTTGTCAGCTAACAAATATTCTAACAAAATAACAAATGAACTATTCAAAAGGAACATTGTTTTTGGTCCATAAAAGATTTCTTAACTCTTAAATAACACTAGAGTTAGGCTACCATCAAGTTATATATTCTCAAAAATGTATTGCTTGTATCTTTAAAAGGTGTCTTAAAAGATACTATTGGTATGGCAAATACACACACACACACACACACACACACACACACACATATATATATGCACATTTCCAAGTAATAACTTTATATTTCAATGGTATATCTTCCACATATACCTAATGCAATAGAAATGTTTGGTTCCAAAAATCATAAAAAGGGAATTGTGTGAACTGTGACATATTTATAGGTCTCATGTATTTCAGCTAATTCTTCTACCATTTGATGGGAGTAATTTTACATTTTTTATTAGTTTTCTGGAGCTGCATAGTGAGACCTAGACTTTAATTTGTGTAGCTAAAAACTTACCCTTAAAATCAATGTTTTACTCAGAATCCCAAGCCATGCTCCATGTAAATAGGCAAAGAAAGGGTGATAACAAATGAGTGATTTAGTAGTCCTGGTAATATTAGTATGAAAAAGTAATTTGTTCACAAAGAAGGACCTCAGTTCTATACTGTATTTTGCCATGTATGATGCACACTCATGTTTTTGTGCTCATTATACGCCGGATTATTATACCCATCATTATACCCATGGTATGTAATCATTATACCCATGTAAAATATAAATCCTCATTTTTCCCTCAAAAATTTGGGTAAATAAATTCACATTATACATGCCAAAATATGGTAACCACCCAGGAAAATGGGCCTCAGTGGGTAGGAGGTTGTGCTGTTGAAGGATCCGCTGTTTAAGGAGCCCGTGCTCAGGGCTGTTCACTGTATAAAGAAACAGCTCTCCCAGATGCTTCTTAAGTGGAAGGGAGTGATAAAAAAGGGGAGCAATAAAGAGCAATCTACAATATTTACTGTTATTTTTAAAAGATTTTAATTGGGTTGAATGAGTGAAAGATTATGTATGTACATACGTCGGTATTCCCAAAGACTCCTCTCAAAGCCCGGTGTGGACTACTTAACACTGGAAATCCTTCACTTTGGCCACAAAAAAAAGTTCCACACAATTACTAAAATTCATGTAGTGCTTGTGTAACATTTATACAGGACTTCTAGGCTACTGTCACAATGGTGGGGGGCACTTAGTGGAGTAAATCAGGTGTTTGTTTTGTTTGCTTGGTCAGTGAAGATGTAAGCATTATACAGTTTTATTAAACATTTTACTTGATGATATTAATAGTTATGATGAAATTCAGCTTATATATATATTTCCTCACCACCTCTTTTATTATTTAATATTGTAATATTATTATTACCTGAAGTGAAGTTTCTGGATATATCTGTGTGGATAAGTTTAATACAGTTTGAATTCAGAGATTTGGTTAATATTGGTCAATCAGTGTTCTTTTCCAATATGGCTCTGTCCAGGTACTCAAAGCAGCAGGTAATTTAGACTAATGGTTCTCAAACTTTAACTTGCAAAGGGATTACCTGAGGAACTTTGTTAACTGCAGATTCTGACTCAGGAGGTCTGGAGTGCATCTGAGAGTCTGAATCTTTGTTAAGCTCCCAGGTGACACGGGTTCTACTGGTCCATGACCCACAATTTTCATAGGAAGGATTTAGACTAGTAAATATGCTGGACTCAATTTTCAAGTTCAGGCTACATGTTTCTATGGTATGTACTTATTGTAATGAGAGGTACGAAATTTGAATTAAAGTTTATTTAATAATGTAAATTTATTATAACCTGGATTCATGTCTTTAAAAGACATGGAACTATTAAAATGAAAATAAGCTGCTTTTCTTACTTGAAAACTAAACTTATTTATAATACTAGTCATTGACAATATTATGTATATATGAAAATTAACTTACAGACACTGTGAGGAATAAGCCAAAAATATAAATTAGTGAAATGGCAATTAATGTAATATAAAAGTTACTTTGAAAATTATCTGAAGAATCATATTTTTTTAAATCCAGGAAATAACATCAAGATTTATAATGAACCAGCTAGCAGAAAATAATCCTTTCCTAATGCAAGCCATAGAAGAGCACCCAGAGGTCAGGAACACAATCTCTAAGGGAAGAGAATGCTCAATATGTGGAAAGTTATTTTTAACCACTTGGATGGAATGTGTTGAATTTGTTTCTCCATCAAAGGTAAAGGGTGGTTTTTACATGAGTATGAACACAAGTTCTCCTCTTATTCTTTGTTTTTATCTAAATCAACCAATTCTAATTAGGTTTGTATATAAGAATTGATTTCTATGATAGTGTAATGATTTCTCATAGCTTTACTGAAATATAATTGACGCACAATGTTATGTAAATTACAGTGTAAAGCATGTTGATTAAATATATTTATAAATTGCAAAGCCACTATTATCAAGGTATTAGCTACCACCTCTGTCCCATCAGAGTTATTTATCTCATTTTTATGGTGAGAACACTAAAGAACTCCTATCTTAGTAACATTTAAATATATGATATAAGCATTATTACTTATAATCATACTATATATTATATTCCCAAATGTGTTAATCTTATAACTGAAAGTTTGTTCCTTTTGAACATTTCCCTCATCCTAACCCCTGGTAACCAATACTTTGCTATTTCTCTGAGTTGGTCTATTTTAGATTCTAAATAGAGGTGATATCATGCAATATTTGTCTCTATCTGACTTATTTAAGCTAGCGTAATGTCCTTAAGATCCATCTAAGTTGTTGTAAATGGAAGGATTTCCTTCTTTCTCATGACTGAATAATATTTCCTGGTATAAATGTCATATTGTCTTTATTCATTCATTTGTTGACACTTAGGTTGTTTTCATATCTTGGCTATCATAAGTAATGCTGCAATGAACATGAGATACAGATATCTGTACGAGATCCTGATTTCAATATTTTTGGATCTTTACTCAGAATTGGGGTGGCTGGGTAATATTTTATAGTTTTATTTTTAATTTTTGAGGAAATTGCATCCTGTTTTTCATAGTGGTTATACAGATTTGCATTCCAATATTCTAGGATTCCTTTTTCTCCACTTATCTTTAGTCTGTTGATGATAGCCATCTAACTGATGAGAAGTGATATTTCATTGTGGTTTTGATTTACATTGACCTGATGATCAGTGATATTGAGCACTTGTTCATGTACTTGTTGTCCATTTGTATGCCTTCCCTGGAAAAAATATCTATTCAGTCCCTCTGTGCATTTTAATTAGGTTGTTAGTTTTTTGGGTTTTTTTTGCAATTGAGGTGTGTACGTTCTTTTTGGATGTTGGGCCTCATCAGATATATAATTTGAAACAATTTTCTCCCATTCTGTAGGTTGCCTTTTCACTTTGTCGAGTTTGTTTTGCTGTGTAAATGTTTTAGTTTGATGTGGTCTCAATAATTTCTGTGCGCTTTTGTCTCTGTGCTTTTGCTGTCATAGCCAGGAAATCACTACTGAGAGCAACATCAAAGAGTTTTTTCCCTTGTATTCTTTTAGGAGTTTAATGATCTCAGTTCTTAAATTTTGCTCTTTAGTCTATTTTGATTCATGTGTGTATGTGTGTCGGTGGTGTAGAATAGAGGTGCATTTTTATTATTCTACATGTAGTTACTCAGTTTACAACATCATTTATTGAAGAAAATGTCTTTTCCCCATTGAGTATTTTTGTCTCTTTTGTCAATTATTCCTTGACCAAATCTGTGGAGGTTTATTTCTGGGTTTTTGATTTTGTTCCATTGGTCTGTGTCTATTTTTTTATGCCCGTACCATACTGTTTTGATTACTCTAGCCTTTGTAGTACAGTTTGAAACCAGGAAGTGTGATTAATTGGCTTTGTTCTTTCTTCTTAGGATTGCTTTGCCTATTTGGCATCCTTTGTGGCTTCCCATAAATTTTAGAATTTTCTAAAATATCTGTGGAAAATGCCATTACAATTTTAACAGGTATTGCATTGAATCTAGAGATGGCTTTGGGTAATGTGAATATCTTGGCAATATTAATTCTTATGACCTATGAGCAAAGGATTTGTTCCCATTTGTTTGTGTCTTCTCTTCCCCAATATCTTTTACCAGAGTCTTAAGGTTTTTAGTGTTCAGTTCTTTTATCTCCTTAGTTGGATTTATTCCTAAGAACCTTACTGTTTTTGATGCATTGGTGAATGGGATTCTTTTTTATTTCTTTTTCAAATGTGTTGTTGTTACAACTGTTTTCTGACTATTAACTTTGTATACTGTAACTTTACTGAATTTGTCAGTTAATTCTAGCAATTTTTTTGGAAGAGATTTTACATTATATATGTATATGAACATGACATGTAAATATGTGTATATTTATGTATATATCATAATAATATATACATATACTTATATGCATGTATATATCACGTACATATATATGGTCATGTCATCTGAAAACAGACAATTTAACTTTTTTTTTCTATTTGCATGTATTGATTTTACTAACCTGGCTGCTCTTGCTAGCTTTCCCAGAGCTGTGTTAAATATAAGTGGTGAGAATTAGTACTGATTACAAAGAGAGTTTGTGCATATTTTAGTTCCTAGTATGCTTGATGAATCACAAGCTCTGGATTTAAACACCAGCCCCTCTGTTCCACTGCATTTGTAATATATTACATCATACGTATCATAGACGTAAATCTGGCAGAGCCACTGCCAGTGAGGGCTACTGCCAAATGAAATAACAGTTAAGGAGAAATTTAAAAGTTAAAACCAGCTGGACATTAAACACTAAGAGAAAAGAAAGGTCATCAGGGAAAATGAAAATAAAAATGTGTGTCAGTTCTCAATGTGGAAGAAAATCTCAATCTTGATCACTTACATAACCTTCTAGAATTGATTGTTATATTGAAGAGATATTTGATGACTACAACACAGGACATATTATTTGGCGAAAGTTGCCAAAATGTTTTTTCAGTCCATGACATGAATTCCTTGGGCAAGTTTCTGTGTTCATTTTTGCCCAATGAACATCTTCTTGGGCCAGATCTTCTTGCTCTGATAGATTCCCTCTCAAAATCACTTCATGAGCTGCTAGTCTCATCTCAGGGAAATAAATTGCAACCTAATAATAGTAACCACAGCCAACATTCATGTAGTACTGACATTGTGCTGAGCATGTCACCTGGGATGCCTCAATTAATGTTCGAAATAACCCAGTGACACCAAAGAGAAATCCAAGGTGCCAAGGAGTGAAGTAATTGGGCCAGGTTCACAAAGCTACTAAGTAGAGACTATAATTGGGGAGGGACCCATATGTGATTCCTTGGGCTTAACCAGAGATGCTGGACCACCTTTCCAATGCTATTCAACTCAGTTATTCCTCATTTACTTCAACTGAATTTAAGATACTCATGCTAAAGAATTTTATTTTGTCATCATTTATTTATCCACTCGAACTCATTAATGTTTTTTCTATTACATGTCAAGTCCTTTACCAGGGACTGAGAATAAAGAGCTCCAGCTCTCTGAGAACTCATGTGTTCCCAGAATTTTGGAATCTGACAAATTAGGCTTGATGAGAGGCCCTAGCTCTTACCACCTGCATCATCTTAATTTCCTCTTTGAGACTAACTTTCCATCTGAGAATTTGTGATAATAGTGGTCCTATCTCACAGGGCTGTGATCAGTGAGTGATACCTGAGGTAATCATGGGTAGTACTTAGCAAAGCAAGTGATTAAAAAGGTAGTACATAGTAGATAATTAATAAAGATTAATTTTAAAAAATATCAAAGCCTTTAGACAAGAAAGAATGATGACATTCTTGTGGTAAGTACTATAATGGAGGAATATACTATGGTGCTATGAGGATAAAGCATCTCAATTAAACAGGGATGCTCTCTGTTCTCCCTCTGGGGAGAATTTTGAGAAAGTATATCACCTACAAAAAATGACAATGAAAAAAATTTAAAAAATGACAATGAACTAAAAGCAGATGATAAAAATATGTATAATATTATTACAGTCATAAAAGATAATGGCTCATAATCTAGAATTATATGCCTAGATAAATTGATAGGCAAAAGCCATGTGAGTGACAGGAAATTGTTAAGAAGAAAGGCAGTTTCTTTTATAAGAGGAAAGGAAGTTTCTTTCCATCCATAGAAAGGAAACTTGTTATGCTTTGAAATAGCCATTGGCTCTAACCTTATTAATATAACTTTTAGGAAATCAAAAGTTATCTTGAGACAAACAAAAATGAACAGACAACTATTCAAAACCTATGGGATACAGTGAAAGCAGTTCTAACAGGAAAATTCATAGCAGTACAGCCCTTTTTCAAGAAACAAGAAAAACCTCAAATGTAAAATATAACCCTGCACCTAAAAGAACTAGAAAAAGAACAACAAAGCCCAAATGTAAGTAGAAGGAAGGAAATAACAAAGATTAGAATGGAAATAATTGACAGAAGAAATTTTAAAAATACAAAAAAAATCAATGAAAACAAACACTGGTTCTTTGAAATGATAAACAAGACTGACAAACCATTAACCAGACTCATTGCAAGAAAGAGAGAGGACCCAAATAGATAAGTCAGAAATGAAAGAAGAGAAGTAAAAATGGACACAAAAGAAATACAAAGGGCTGTAAGAAAATATTATGAACTATATGCCAAAAATTAGGACATAGGATGAAATGGATAAATTTCTACAAACATAAAAACTTCTAAAACTTAATCAGGAAGAATCAGAGAATCTGGACAGAAAGATTAAAACTAGTGAAATGTGTCCTTTATTCATGTTCCTTGATGACCCTTCTCCATTTTACCCCCATTATTGCCTCTCACCTCCCCTCTGGTTACTGTCAGTTTGTTTTTTATTTCATTGTCTCTGGTTCTATTTTGCTTGCTTGTTTGTTTTGTTGATTAGGTTCCACTTATAGGTGAGATCAGACAGTATTTGTCTTTCACTCTCTGGTTTATTTCACTTAGCATAATATTCTCCAGTTCCATCCATGCTATCACGAAGGGTAGGAGCTCCTTCTTTATTTCTGCTGTGTAGTAGTCCATTGTGTAAATTTACCATAGACTTTTAAAAATTATAAAAAGTAATCAAAGAAGTACACTGCATAAAGGGGTAAATTCAAGAAGAGAACATAATAATCATAAATATCTATACAATCAAGATGGGAACAACTAAATATGCAAGTTAATTATTAATAGACATAGAGGGAGAAATCCATAGTACTAAAATAAGAGATTTTAATACTCAACTCACATCAATAGACAGATCATCATAAGTGGAAATTAATGAGGAAATAATGGTCTTAAATTTAATAGGCATTTATAAATATTTCATAAAAACTATAGAATTCACACTTTATTTAAAAAATGAATTTATTGGGGTAACATTCAGGTAAATAATCTATAATACATCATCTGTATATTGTACTGTGTGTTTACCACCCTAATTCAATTCTCCTTCCATCACCATTTATCCCTGCTTTATTCTTTTTCACCTCCCTCCACCCTTCTTGTCCTGTGGTGGTCACATTGTTGTCTGTGTCTATGAAATTCTTTTTCTTTCAAGTACACATGCAACATTCTCCAAGACAGACCACATATTAGGCCACAATATAAGCCTCAATAATGTCAAGAAGATTGAAATCATATGAAGTATCTTTTGGGGCCATAGCATGAAATTAGAAATCAACTACAGGAAAAAAAACAAAAAAACAAAAACCACACTTTTGTTTTGTTTTTTAATAGAGACTAAATAACATATTACCAAACAAGCAATGGATGAAGCAAGACATGAACTATCTTAAAACATATAAAAATAAAAACACAACTTTTCAAAATTTATGGGATATAGCAGAAGCATCTCTAAGTAGGAAGTTCACAGCTATATAAGGCAAATTCAAGAAGCAAGAAAAGTCCCAAATAATCTAACTCTACACCTAAAGGAGCCAGAAAAATAAGACCAAACAAAAACCCAAATAAGTAGATGGAAGGAAATGTTTCAGATCAGAGCAAAAATAAATGAAATGGAATTTTTGAAAGAACAGTAAAATAAGAGCTGATTCTTTGAAAAGATAAATAAAATTGACAAACCTTTAGCTAAACTCATAAAGCAAAAAGAGAGCTCAAGTGAAAGTGAAGTTACAACTGGCACAACAGAAATATAATAATTAAAAAACATTACAATTATTTGCAATAAATTTTAAAAATCTAGAAGAATATATCCTTCTATTTCTAGAAGTATATATCCTTCCAATGTTGAACTGGAAAAGTACAAAATCTAAACAGACCAATGGCTAGCAATAATAAAAAAACTCTCAACCAATGAAAGTCCAGGACCAGATACTTCACAGGTCTTATCCATCTTAAATTCAACTATTTAAAAAAAATTAAAGAGAAAAAATGCTTCCAAATTCACTTATGAAGCCAGAATTATCCTGATATAAATTAATCAAAGATATTACAAAACCACAAAAAGAAAGAAAATAACAAGCCAATATCCTTGATAAACATAGATGCAAAAATCTTAACAAAGTTAAGGTAAATTGGATTCAACAATATATTAAAAGGATTATACATCTAGACCAAGTAGGACACATCTAAGTGATGTAAGGATTGTTCAACATCCACAAATCTTTCAATGTAATACATCATATTAACAAAATAAAGAATAAAACTCATACTCAATAAACATAGAAAAGAATTTACAAAATTCAACATTCTTTAATGATAAAACTCTCAACAAAGTGGATATAGAAAAAACATATCCAAAAATAGATGGCCTTGATAAATGACAAATCCACAGCTAATAACATACTCAATGTGAAAAGCCTTTCCTCCAAGATCAGGAATAGGACAAGGAGGCCCACCATCACCACTCCTATTCAATATAGTATTTAAAATCCTAGCCATAGCAATCAGACAAGCAAAATAAATAAAGACATCCAAATCAGAAAGAAATAAAACTTTTATTATTTGCAGATGACACAATACTATATATAGAAAACCCTAAAGATAGCACTACAAAACTGTTAAAACTAATAAATTAATTCAGTAAAGTTTTAAGATACAGAATCAATATACAGAAATCAGTTGCATTTATGTATACCAATAATGAATGATCTGAAGGAATTAAGAGGACCTACATCAATATTTCTCCAAACGGGGCATACAGATGGTCAACAGACATGAAAAGTCACTCAACATCACTAATCAGGGAAGTGTAAACTAAAGCCACAATGAGATATCACCTCATACCTGAGATAATGACAATCATCAATAAATCTACAAATATCAAGAGTTGAAGAAGATGTAAAGGAAAGAGAACTATTGATGGGATTGTGAATTAGTGCAGCCACTATAGAAAAAAGTATGGGATTTCTCAAAAAATTAAAAATAGAGCAATCAGACAATCCAGCAATTACACTGATGGGTATCTATCTGAAGAAAACAAAAACACTAATTTGAAAAGATATATGCACCCTTATCTTCATTGCAGCATTACTAGTAATAGTCAGGATATGGAAGCAACCTAGATGTACATCAGTAGATGAATGGACAAAGAAGATGTGATATATATATTACACAATGAAATATTATTCATTGATAAAAAAAAGAATGGGGCCTAGAGGGTATTATGTTAAGTGAAACACATCAGAGAAGAATGGATAGCATGTGATTTCACTTATATGTGGAGTCTAAAAAAACAAGACAATTGAATAAACAAAACAAAATAGATACAGGCCTATAAAGAAATAACATAGCCATTTGGTACTCAGCGTCATTCTTTTAAAAATATATGAATAAACTCTTCTTGAACAGTTAAATGTAATCTAATTATTCAGTATGATTTCATACAGAGTAGATTTAAAATACTATACATAATATGTCTATCATTATAAAACTACTTATGAATTTTTTTACCCTTGGACTAATGTACTTATTGTTGATATCCATGAATCAACATTTTATGTTCTATATGTTGTTTTCCCAGTACAATACCCATGTTCTTGAATTTCTGCTCTGATAGTTCACCCTTTCTAAATGTCTTTTCCATCCTCCCCAGGCAGCCATAGCCTACTCATTCTTCAAACCACAGCCTTTCATTCTCTTCCATTTTGAAATCCTGCGTAATTTGAAGCCTGTGTTGGTGTCTCCCTTCTCTGCATTCATATAGAACCTACAATTGGGTTCAGCCTTATGATTTTAGGTTTTTTTTGTGTGTGTGTTAATGTGTCATCTTTCCAAATGGAGGCTAAAAATGTTCTTAGAGACAGATTTTTTGTTACATATCTCTGCATCTTTGGCACTTTACCTAATGTAGTGCAGAATTTAGGTTGCTTGTAAGTTGTCATAACTCTTGGTTGCAAGTTAAAGAAACCCAACTCACACACTTGAGTAATGAAGGAGGCCCAGGGTTGTGTCAGCTGAGTATTTAGTCATGCTGGATCAGGTAGCCACATTTATCACCAGGAATCTGTTCTTTTCTGTGTATTGTCTCTGCACTTATTTGTCTTGGTTTGGCTCTCATATAGAAGCTCCCTAAACTGTGTCCTCTGTCAATAGAAGGACAGATTTCCTCTCTGAACAGATGCAGGGAAAGCCCTGGGTTTGATGCTCTTTGGCTTTATTTGGCATTATGGGGTCATGTGCTGGTCCTGAGTCATGTGGTTTGTCTTGACACGTGGAGTTGGATCAGCTGTCCTCTCCCTCCCATAATATGTGCACTCAAATTGGAGAAGGGGTGGTTCCCCAAAGGAAAGGTGAATCTTTGTTCCAGCATAATGGAAAATTGATGTTGGACAGGCAAAAATAAGATGTCTAGTGGGGGTTTCAGTAAATATATTCTGATTAATAATTTAAACTTTCTTATAGGAAAGAAGGCATGTTTGCAGAGATCCCATGCCATTTTTCACCTTTATCTAAAATATTTATCATTAGAATAATGCCACGAATCTTTTGAGCACTTTCCAATCTCTGTTGGAGGTAGATAGGAAGGTGATATGATGTGTGACTTTGGCTTACCAATGATGTATCACCAAGGTTGAAAGGCTATTACTCTCTCAAGGAAGGATTAATAACTTTACTTTGGTGTTTGAACCTTTAAACTGGCTCTAAAGTTCTTTTGTGGAGGAGTAAACAGAACAGTAATAAAATTTAAAATTTCTCACTGTGGATTGTGATGATGACAGCCCAATAGGTTCATAATAAAACTAAGTGGTGTGATCAACTAATTAAACTACCTGTTGTGCAGGTCATTTTGGGATTCTCTGAGAGCTATGTTGACCTCAGCAGTTGTGTGTAAAGCATAAAAATGATGAGCTTTTGAAATTAGCCTTATTTCCAATATTAGTGGTCAAGACACTATGTCAGCTAACAGTTTTGGACTACCTATTTTGTTCATGAAGAGGTAAGATTAGAGATATTTGAAGTACAAAAACTTAAGCCATGTATTGGACAACCTGCCTGAAACCCAACCAGGGGAAGGTCTTAATGAACGTTGCAGACAGAGCACAGGCAAAACCAAGGTGTCCACTGCGTAGTTCAATGAATGTCTGCTGACTAATTAATTTAACATCTCTGTTACAGAAGTCAGGTTTGCAATGATTTTGCACTGTAATTTACCTTCATCCCAACCATGTTACGGCTAGACAAATATAGTGTGTTTGATAAAAGCACTGGATGAAAATAAAAGTATTTTATTATTTGAATTTATTCAGTGTTGAATAAGCCTTTCCTACCTAGTTCAGTTTCTGTGGGGGAAATATTAAATCAAGCACAAATAGAATAGTGTGTCCTTTAGAAATCAATGGTATGACATTTCTGAGGAAACTAATATTTATTTTACTCAAAATGATTTGTTGAGCAATGCCTTAATTTTATTTCTGATCTTTACTTTTTAGAACTGGAAGATAAACAGAAATCTACAGCAGATACCCCTTCGAGTATTAATTTGTTCTTTCAACTGTTTTAATCGACGTGACAGTAACTTGTTTGGAATTGCCAAAGTTCAGAGTATGTGAGATGCTCCTGAAGAGTCTCACACGACTTGCTCTGTGCTCTCTGCACATGCAGTCACATTGGGCCCTAGTTATGATATCATGCCTTGTCTCCTCTCTTTGTCTATACATTAAGCAAAGGAGGAAAAATAATTACACATAAACATCCCAACTGAAGCCTTATAGCCTGCCTCGATTGTTGAGACTCTTGGTGTGCTGTTTCTTCTCTGACTTAAACACAAAATAATAAATAGAAAAATTAAGATCTGTGCAGTGAGCGTTATTATTTCCTGTCACCCTAGCACCACCACCCTCCTTTTCTAGTATTCAGAGACTTTGATGGAGACACCTTTTGCAAATGAAATTGCATGCTTTACAATGGAAGGAGAATCACTTTTTAATGTTAGAGAGTTGTATCACCTTTTCATAATTTAGTTGAGCTCTTATTGTTTATGAGGTACTCACATCTTATCGACTAAGATAAAACCTTCATTCTAGTTATAAATGAGTAAAAGGCTAAAAAGCCAGGGTTGGTTACTCCTAACATCACTTTGTTCCAGATTTTAAAGTCACTTATATATATATAATTTCCCTCACAAATTAAACTGACAGCAGAAGCCAGGGCAGTAGAGCTGAAATGAGAATTTGGCTTTTTCTTTGTGAAGGACAACAGAAAAGTAGGGAAAGGAGTTATACAAATATATGGCACAGATTGCATAGACCAGTGGTTTTGGGCAGTGTGTCCAGCAGCATTTAGATCACTTGAGAAATTGTTAGAAATGCAAATTCCCCAGCCCCACCCCAGACTACTGAATCTGAGATGGGCTGTATGTGGCCTGGCAATCTATTTGAAAAAATCCTCCAGACAACTTCAATATACTCTGCTGTGTGCTCAGCAAAGCATGAAATACAATAATAATTTTACATTTAAATGCCACTAGAAATATATTTATTCATATAATTATTTAGTGGTCCTTCTGGTGGAAGGCTGAGTGGATCCTCATATTCTGTATGTTAGCATGTTACCTTCCTCAGGAGGCCTTTTGTTAGTTCACTTTAGGACACACTCCTTTATGCATGAGTTGCCTCTGTCACAACTGGGAAGATAAATCAATGGAGCGCAGCTGAGAGGCCCTCGAGTCCAAAGAATGTAAGAGTCAGGTCCTACTGAGACAGGTGGGGGCCTCAAGGTAACTTTCTAAAAACTCCTTTGACTAAGAATACATTTAAAACTAAAATACAAAACAAAGTACAAATGAAAGTCATCGGAGCTCCTTAAAAACAAGTTATGGGAAGAAACTGTAGTTAATTGAGGAAAAACAGCTATGGTGATTTTGATTAGGGAAGTATGTTTATGTAAACTATGATATTGAAAAGAGTGTTTGTTTACCATTTTAACCGTATGACCTCAGCCAAAATTTAGGTGCTTCTTGACTCTGGGAAGAGAATTGTATCTGTTTATTCCACTATGCGTTCATTTATTTAACAAACATCTCAGATATCCATGGGATGCAGGTGACTCAAAAAGAGAATCTTGACTACACCTTTCCACCCTGTCCTCTTCATGTCCTGAGATGCTGAGACCTGGTTTTTGCTCCACTGCTCCACCACCAGTTTTCCAGAGGCCACCAGGCACTGCCACCAATCCACCTGCTCCTCATCTGGCTGCTCTTCCCTGCAGTTTGGGTCTCCACTGAGCATCTTTTGCCTCTTTGAACTGTATTCCTTCAGTTCATTTCTTATTTCTCTGACTGCCTATTTACCATAACTTTAACTGAATTCTCTTCTATATCTTTTTTTCAAAAACAAGGGTTCTATGAGATTCTCAGTCCCATTTTCTCCTTTCTTAGCATTTTTTCTTTACCTGAAGGAACTCATCTACTCTTACCAATTTCATTTCATTTCTTTTAAAAATGTTTTAATTTAATTATTGTTCAAGTATAGTTTTCTATCTTTTACTCCCATCCCAGCCCACCCCCCATGCTCCCCAGCTCCCTCCCCTATCTCCCTCTGTTAGTTTTTTGTCCATGTGTCCTTTATACTCATTCCTGTGAATCCTTCCCCTTTTCCCCTGAAATTCCCTTCCCTCTCCCCTCTGGTCCCTATCAGCCTGTTCTCTATTTCAGTGTCTTTGGTTATATTTTGCTTGCTTGTTTGTTTTGTTGTTTAGCTTCCTGTTAAAGGTGAGATCATATGGCATTTGTCTTTAAACACCTGGCTTATTTCATTCAGCATAAAGCTCTCCAGTTCCATCCATGCTGTTGCAAAGGGTAGTAGCTCCTTCTTTCTCTCTGCTGCGTAGAATTCCATTGTGTAAATGTACCATCATTTTTTGATCCATTCATTTACTGACGGGCACCTAGGTTGCTTCCAACTCTTGGCTATTGTAAATAGTGCTGCTATGAACATTTCATTTCATTTTCTACACCTGAGTGGGTAGCTAGCTCCTCTTTCTTCATTTTTTAATTTATATTTAGAGAGAGAGGAAAAGAAGGAGAGAAACATCAATGTATGGTCACCTTTGTGTGCCCCCAAATGGGGACCTGGCCTGCAACCCAGGCATGTGCCCTAACTGGGAATTGAACCAGCAACATTTTGGTTTGCAGCCCGCACTCAATCCACTGAGCTACGCCAGCCAGAGCCTCTTTCTCCATTTTTAACCCGTGATTTCAAGCTCTTCAACTTAACCCATTTAAGATAAGACTGATCCTCTTCTTCACAAAATGTCGTTTTCTCATTTATTCATGTATTAAATACATTTTTTGAGGGACAACTATCTATTAGCACTGTTCTCTGTTCTTGGGATATAACAATGACCAAAAGTGACAGGGCCCTTGCTATTCAACATCTCACAGTCTAATGCAGAACAGACAATAAAAATAGACAAATAATATGCCGGTAAGTATTTTGAAGTGAAATAAAACAGGATTGGAGAGATCGGAAATAATGGGAATACTTTTTATATAGGCCGATCTGGGTCTTAGAAGGTAGTAATTGGTTAGAAATCCAAACAATGTGAGAAGGGAATGAGTTCTCTGCATGTAGTGAACAGAAGCCAGTTGAGTGCTTGAAGGAAGGAAAGCCCAGGGTAACACTAGAAGCACCAAATAACTGAATGTGTGCTAAAAAACATCATGACCCCGACATCGAGAAACTGAGTGTTGTTAGATGCAAGATTTTGCACCAAGTGTCACTATGGAAACCAGACGGGGGGAGGATGACTCTGCTTCTGCCCCGTGGGGCCTGTCCATGTTCTGAAGCACTGGTCAGCCAGATACAAAATTTAATCTCACTACACTTCTACGTGGGTATGTGCATGCATGTAGGTGTGTGTTCTCCTGCTGACCAGTAATTTATATGATATACTATTGTTGATACCTGTAATGCTGTAAGATTTTTTTAATTTTCTAACGATTACAACCAACTTTTATTTATTCAAGTGAAGTTGAAGCAGCTGGAATATTACCTTTATTTGTAAATTATTTAGGTTCATTTTTCTCTTCTGTGAGTGCTGTGTGGAATTTTTGTAGTTGTTAACTCGCATTTGCCCGAGGACACAGAAGAATAAAAAAGACACTCAAGTTTCTTTTCCTGTTTGGTATAAGCCCTCATCATCTGTGTTTCGGGGAATTAGTTTCAAACAGAAGAAATATATTATTTTAGGATTATTTAATGAATGCTTTTTGTCCCAGTTACTAATTTGTTTCCAGTCATTAATTATAGTAATGATTTTCTATATGTCCCTAGTTTTGAATAATTGAAGTATAATCTGATTATTTATATTTGTGCATTTCCTTTACACAATTCAAGATGGATTTTCTCCATTTAATTACTAAATATTTTTAACAACCTTCAGAATGGTGTTAGTTGAATCCAGTGGGTAAAGAATCAATAGATCTTGCTAAAAGTAATGACAATATCTTCTACAATTAAAGCAATATGTGATTAAGGATATTTGCTTTCTTTTGACCTGTATCTTAAAAATTGCTTTCTTTACACCAGCATTTATTAATGGCTATTACTGGGAAAGTTTTAAATGAAGGTAGATTTAATTTTTCTTCACCTGATAAAGCATCTAAAATCTCCAAAATGACACTTGGAACTCTCATTGCTTTATTTTCATAAAATACCTCTTTGTGTGTGTGTGTGTGTGTGTGTGTGTGTGTGTGTGTGTGTGTGTTTGTCTAGGTTATTTTCCAACTGCAGTTGCAAGAAAATAAAGGCTAGAAGTCACTTGCACTTTCTCAATTTGTTTTGGTTCTTGGTGTGGAGAAAGTCTTCTGGGTCTTCTGGCAGCTTCATCTGCACCCTTGCTGCCAGAACTAGGGAGCCTTCTCCTGACCACAGGGGTCCGGATGGCATGAAGGCTCCTGACCTGTAGTTCAGAAGGGACCTTGAGTCTCATACACCAGCCACACCACACCAGGATTAATGAGGGCACTTTTAATAATTTTCATCCTACAAGAGTGGGTGTCCTGAGAGGTCACAGAGGTCATCTGAGGTGAAAGACAGTTCAGAATGTGTGTGCCCTTTCCAGGCACAAGGTTGGAGTGAGTGAAGATGGCGAATCACTATAAATAAATGGGCAGCAGAGCCAATGGTGGGTGAGTGAGCTACAAAAGTAAGGGTGTTTTAAAGGCAGGATGGGGAAAACAAAGGCTTTATAATCTCCTTCAGTCAAGCTATCCAAGCACAGCTAAGAGATCTGGCACATTCAAGGGTAAATGCTTGGATCATCAGAGGAAATGGGCGTGGGGTTGATACCGGGCTCTCCTCCCACTGCAGAGGATGAGGGCTGGCGGGTGAGGGGCTGGGGGAGTGGCTTGGTCCGAAGGAATGTGTATTGTTTTGAAAATGAACTGTAATTGCCTCCTTATCTCCTTTGAAGAGCAGGTCTTGTCCTGTGACTGCTTCCTGACCTTTTCTTTCTGCACAGAAACACTGAGGTAAAGGACGTAGTTTAGCGTCATGCACAGGACTCGAAGCGCCTCCTTTGTCTGGGCCCCCTTATAAGGAGCCTCGGACTGGAGGAGGCGCGGTCTCTCTCGCACCGAACGGGCTGCCCTCGGTGCGCTCCCCTGTAATGTGAGTAACAAATTGCATGTCCACATCTGCTAGTCCTCTGGGTGTTTTTTTTCCGACTACCACGAACACTTACTTAAGCAGCTCCCGGGCTTGGAGTTCTGCGTTGCAATGGGGCTAGTAAGCATCGCTGCAGACTGTAGGTG